GTAATATATAAAAAAATACAGTTCAACACACAGTAAATAAAAAATCTATTGTTAATGATACACAGTTCTTTAGCAAACTAAGTGCCATTTAGTTAGCCTTTACATCAACTTTAATGTCTGTGCCGTTCAGACCTATGGATATGAAAATGATGGTTTAGAGTTAAAGCCATTTCCAGTTTGCCCAGGTAATTTTTCACTCAATAGACTAAAAAAAAAAAAAGAAAAAAAAAAAAAAAAACAAAACAAAATGAAATGAAAATTAAATTAAATTTACCAGTAACTTTCCAAAACTTTTTCACACCCTAAACCCTGATGGTTTAGGGTTAAAACCATTTCCAGTTTGCCCAGGTAATTTATCACTCAATAGACTAAAAAAAAAAAAAAAAAAGAAAAAAAAAGTGAAATGAAAATGAAATTACATTTACCAGTAACTTTCCAAAACTTTTTCACACACAGAAATGTCACCACTGCAACCCTCATAGAGCCAAAAGATTAAGTGAAAACAGCATTCCACCAATAACAGCTTTCTTACAACAATGTGGGATTCCTGGAGGTGTCTGATTAAGATCACTCTGTACATAGCGGGAGAAAATGCCACCTTTTTGTCAGGTTGCCCTTAAAACACAATGTTCACCAGCGGTGGGTCACACGCTCATTTTCGCTCAAATTCTCCAACAATGCATTGTTGTGTCAGCAAGGAGAGGTGGGGGTTACACTGGGGATTCAGATTAGCTGCAAGGAATTTCTATTCTTGCAGCACTTTGATGTGGAAAAAACCCCCACTAAGTATAAAGTTTTCCAAAAAGTCAGTTCAATGTTGCAGCAGAGACAATACACCTGTTTATAAAGTGACTGGTATACTCTCTGGTGGAGTGTCCCAAGGGCCCCTGTGGTCACATCAAGCTTAAATGCTGAGTATCTTTTCTTGGGGTCATTAAAATTCTTTGGATTCCAGGTAAAAGCCCAAGTTCATTCTGTATTTTGTTTTTCTCCGGTTAAAGTTATATTGAATTGCCATTTGTAGAATGATCTGTGAAAAGTTGATATTTCCCATATGGGAGAAAAATATATTTGAAATACTACAACTGTGGCCATATTCAATATATTTCAAAATATATTTCTATATATATGTATATACATACACACACACACAGATACTGTATGTTGAAATGCGTTTTTTATATATTACAATATATGAAAGATATTTTTTAAAATATATATTTTTCATTTTGTAATATATAAAAAACACAGTTCAACATACAGTACATGTATATAAAATATATATATATATATATATATATATATATATATATGTATATATATATAGACATATATTTTAAATACTACAAGTTTGGCCATATTCAATATATTAAAAAAAAAAAAAAAAAAAAAAAAAAAAAAATATATAAAAAAAAATATATATATATATATATATATATATATATTATTTATTTATTTTTATATACATGTACTGTATGTTGAACTGTGTTTTTTATATATTACAATACGTGAAAAATATTTTAAAAATATATAATTTTCATCTATTTTGTAATATATAAAAAACACAGTTCAACACACAGTACACACACACACAAATATATATATATATATATATATATATATATATATATATATATATATAGAGAGAGAGAGAGAGAGAGAGAGAGAGAGAGAGAGAGAGAGAGAGAGAGATTTGAAATACTACAATTTTGGCCATATTCAATATATTTCAATAAATATATATATATAATTACATAGTTAGTCTGGCTGAAAAAAAGACAAAAGTCCATCCAATTCAACCAATAAAAAAAAAAAAAAGTTATAATCCTATACCCACAGTTGATCCAGAGGAAGGCAAAAAAACCCAGCAAAGCACAATCTAATTTGCTCCTGCAGGGAAAAAAAATTCCTTCCTGATCCCCCGAGAGGCAATCGGATATCCCCTGGATCAACTTTACCTATAAATGTTATATCCAGTTATATTCTGTGTATCTCTCTCTCTCTCTCTATATATATATATATATATAGATAGATATATATCTATATGACAAATATTTTTTAAAATACCTTTCAAATATACTGTATGTCTTTAAAAATACAAATCTACATTTTTGGAATGCATTTACAAATATATGTAAAAATATATGTTAAAATACATTTTTTATATGTTAAAAAAATCTATATATATTTTTTAAATATATTCTTCAGATTTTTTTTAACATATAAAAAAGTAATTTTTAAAAATATATATTTTTACATATATTTGTAAATGCATTCCAAAATTGTAGATTTATATTTTTAAAGACATACAGTATATTTGAAAATGTATTTTTAAAAATATTTTTCATATATTTTGTAATAAAAACGCATTTCAACATACAGTATGTATATATATAAAATATATTGAATACGGCCAAAATTGTAGTATTTAAAATATAGGTCAATATATTTGGGAAGAATTTTTTAAAAATATATCTTTCTTCCATGTGGGTTATTATTATTTATCAGTTGTATTCCAGCAAATGGTCTTCTAAAGCTGAGCTCAAGGCAAATGGCTAACTACAAAGATGGAATAAACAGCTAAATACAGAGATGGACAAAATATTATTATTATTAACAATAATAAAAAAACAAACATTTTTATTATAAAATATTTTTATATGATTATATCATCCCAGCTATGGCACTACCTGCCTGGAGTTTGCATGTTCTCCCTGTGCGCGGGTTTCCTCCAAGTACTCTGGTTTCCTCCCACACTCCAAAGACATGTTGGTAACTTAATTGTCTTCTATCTAAGTTATCACTAGTATGTGTGGATTTCAGTGAGGGACCTTAGATTGTAAGCTCCTTGAGAGCAGGGACTGATGTGAATGTACAATATTTATATATGTAAAGCGCTGCGTAAATTGACGGTACTGTATAAGAACCTATAATAAATAAGAATATTAAAGTATAACTGAAGGCAAAGCTTTTTTTTTGTAGTTTTTGATAGAGTGGAGATGGATTAGAAAGCGTGTCAGCTTTTATTGTCGTCTGTGCCCCTGGTAGGGGGATTCACCCTCTCCATTTGTCCTGCTTACCTTTATCATTGCAAGTGAAAACAAAAAGAAAAAACCCAAATTTTGGGTTCTCCCCAGAAAAGTAATAGAGAGGAAATCTTCCAATGGAGACACTAGTTCTGGTGACCAAGGAATTCCCTTAATTTGGAGGGATTTCCTCTCACTTTATTGTTTAGCTATGGGACAGTAAGTGAAGGGAAATCACCTCAATGGGACACAGATGGTGAATAAAAAAATCTGACGGGTTAAAAAAAGTTTTGTGTATAGTTCTACTTTAAAAAATAATAAAATTAAACAAAACACAGCAAAATGCACAGACAAAATAAAATACTGTAACAAACTAATATGATAAAATAATATATAATAATATATAATATTATTTTTTTTTTAATAAAGTAAATAAATATTATAAAATAATACAATATTTTAAGATTCCATAAAGTATATTTTTTTTATAATAAAATGATATTTTTTTAGTATATTACATAATATTAAAAAAATGTAAGAAAAAATTGAAAGAAAATAGCTGTTTTGCCTGTGAAAGGATTTGTAGTTCTTTCTATCCAGGCAAAAAGATATAAAACAGATGGAAAAAAATAAATATAAAATAAAAAATATAAAATATTATTTTAATATAAAATACAGTGTTTTTTTTAATAAAATAATAGAAACACAGAGGAGTGAAGGCAGAACAAAAGACCAAGTGGTCCATTGCGTCTGCCCCTTCTTTATATATACTTTTTTTTTTAAATAATAAAATTAGTTATAAAATATAATATTATTATGTTAAAATATTACATAAATATACGTTTTAATGTTTTAAATCAACCCTGTCTGATCACTCCTCAGTGGTTCTGGAATTTTCTCTTTCCACTAACCCCTACAAGGTCTGGCACTGGAAACTCAAAAACTCTCCAAGGTGACGACATTAGGGGCACGATGCCATCGAAACTTTCGACTGTCTTTCTTACCAACCAAAGTTCAGTTTCAAACATAGCAGATAAATGCTTTAAAGTGGGGATCTTTATTGCTAAGGGGTCTAGACAGGAAAACAACACTCAAAACAAGCGGCTATCTTAAATAATTTCCCTGGAGCTATTTCACAAATGATCACAGGCCCAAGCAACATTTACAGAATGTAGAGAGTTTATTCTTATCACGTACCTGGTGTTAGAGGCCAATGAAGAGAGGGCTTCCCTTGCGGCTAAGTTCCAGACTCCCCTGGATATGGGGCAGAAGGAGTCAGGCCCAAAGTAGCACGGGTCACCTGTAGGAGTGCTTGTCAGAGGTACACCCAGGAGCGCAGCTGAAGCACTGGAATGGTGTCTGCAGACAGGTGGCGCCCGTAAGAGATATGCAGGCCTTCAGGGTAGCAGAGGACCACAGAGTAGTAGGTTCAAAGCCAAGGTCAAATGCCAGGTGGGGAATGGAGCAGACCTTGTCAATAGGATAGCTGGGGTCATACACAGGAGAGCAAGTGAGAATATCCTTTAGCCAAGTTGGGGTCAGACCAGGAAAGCAGGTGAGAATATCCGTTAGCCAAGCCGGGGTCAGATCAGGAGAGCAGGTGAGAATATCTGTTAGCCAAGCCGGGGCCAGATCAGGAGAGCAGGTGAGAATATCTGTAACCCAAGCCAGGATCAGGAGAGCAGATCAGGAGAGCAGCAGGTGAGAATATCTGTTAGCCAAGCCTAGGGTTAGATCAGGAAAGCAGGTGAGAATATCTATTAGCCAAGCCGGGGTCAGACCAGCAGTTGGATCAGGAGAGCAGGTGAGAATAGAGCAGGTAGGAGAATATATCCGTTAGCCAAGCCGGGGTCAGACCAAGAGCAGGTGAGAATATCCGTTAGCCAAGCCTAGGGTCAGATCAGGAGAGCAGGTGAGAATATCCGTTAGCCAAGCCTAGGTTAAATCAGGAGAGCAGGTGAGAATATCCGTTAGCCAAGCCAGGGGGTCAGACCAGGAGAGCAGGTGAGAATATCCATTAGCCAAGCCGAGTTCAGATCAGGAGAGCAGGTGAGAATATCCGTTAGCCAAGCCTAGGTAAATCAGGAGAGCAGGTGAGAATATCCGTTAGCCAAGTTGAGGTCAGACCATGAGAGCAGGTGAGAACATCTATTAGCCAAGCCGGGGTCAGATCAGGAGAGCAGGTGAGAATATCCATTAGCCAAATCGGGGGGTCAGATCAGGAGAGCAGGTGAGAACAACTATTAGCCAAGCCGAGGTCAGTCAGATCATGAGACCATCAGGTGAGAATATCCGTTAGCCAAGTTGAGGTCAGACCATGAGAGCAGGTGAGAGATATCCGTTATGAGGTATTAGCCGAGCCGGGGTCAGATCAGTCAGATCAGGAGAGCAGGTGAGAATATCCGTTAGCCAAGCCAGGGTCAGATCAGGAGTCAGGCAGAGAAGACAGGTCCAAGAACAAGCCAAATCAGTAACATGAGATGACAGTAGTAAAGTAACACAGACAAAGGTACTGGGGAGCCAGACATCAACCAGGGAGTGAGTGAGGGAGTGATGGGCTTCCTTATAAAGACCGTCTGGGCTAATGCATGTGTAACTATGCGTCCGTGCCCAATGCGCATAGATTTTCGCCAGCGTGTATTTCTGTGGCCATGCAAGGTACTGGCAGGTACCTCTGCTGTGGACAGAGCCCGACAATTCTCTTTGAAGATAAAGGACTAATTCACTAAACTGAAATCCCACTTCTATGAAGAGGGGAACAAGCCATGGAAAATGCTTGTAGGAGGGTGCAGGTTGACCTCCCTACCTAGGTGGCATTATTGCATCCGCCTTGCAGGAAGTGTGTAGGATAGAAGGAATATCTATTCTTCCTATGCCTGGTACACACGTGGGAGGTTTTTTTTTTCGTGGAACCCAATGAGCTAAACAAAAAGAGATGGAGAGTTATACTTTAATGTCTTTTGGGCACCTCGGGCATGCAGGGATGTGTTTTTGTCATCCTTGTAGCAATTGGAAAAGAATATTTCTTCTCACAATATTTGCAAACTGCAGCTTTTCTCTCAGCATAAATTGCACTGTGGAAATGTTTCCAGACTCTAGATGTTGGTTTCACCATTTTACTGAGAGAAGGAAAAGAAAAAACTATTTACTGAGCAGAGTACAGGGAAACATTATGCTGTGGTGGTGGAAAACAGAGAGATAGACTAATTTGTCAGACAAATTTACCCCCAATTAAGGCCTGGGAGGAGGACAGAAACTGTCATCTACTGTATCCCAACAATCACCCAACTGCAGGAGGTACAAGATGGAGCCCACAAGCAAACTAAACTGGAGCCTTTCCCCTGCAGTGCCCCCTAGGAGTTTATTTACTAAAGCTGGAGTTTTTTTTTTTTCGTGGAACCCAATGGGCTAAACAAAAAGAGACTGAGCGTTCGCTGTACTAACCCGATGTTAGTGCGGCATTCTTCCCTGCTGAGTGATTATGTTCTGACAGGGGGACACACTGATCCGGATTCACAGCCATTGGCTGCAAGCACTGATCGGATGCTGGGTTTCCAGCATGCTCATTTGATAGAGCGGCTTCCTTCAGACAGGCTGCTATACGCACAGGCGTTTTTTTTTTTGAACCGGCCGTTACCTTCCAATATTCAGCCCCTGTGTACAAGCCTTTAGGCCTCCATTTGTGTTATCGAGAGCCCCAAGCATTACCAAGGAGAGGAAACACTGACACTTGCTCCATATTTGTGTCAGGGAATTCCGGTGAGACATAGTTACATAGTTAGTCTGGCTAAAAAAAGACAAAAGTCCATCCAGTACAACCATAAAAAAAAAAGTTATAATCCTACACCCACAGTTGATCCAGAGGAAGGCAAAAAAACCCAGCAAAGCATGATCCAATTTGCTCCTGCAGGGGAAAAAAACTCCTTCCGGATCCCCCGAGAGGCAATTGGATATTCCCTGGATCAACTTTACCTATAAATGTTATATCCAGTTATATTCTGTGTATCCAAGAAACAATCCAGGACTTTTTTAAAGCAATCCACTGAGCTGGCCAGAACCAACTCTTGAGGGAGTCTATTCCACATTTTCACAGCTCTCACTGTGAAGAAACCTTTCTGTGTTTGGAGATTTGTGTATTGTACAGGCCTGGACTGGTAGCCCGGCATTTGTCTGATGTTTCAAGAAGTGGTGCTTTGACTCTGTGGGCGAATAGTCTTCTTTAAAATTGATATAAACCCAAACAATAAACTTCTCTTATTTCCTACATTTTGGTGCATTACAGCGGTATTAAACCCAAGAGAAAACATTTATTATATTGCAGTTTACTAATCCGTAGATGTTATGGCTGCATTAGTTTTCTTTTTAAGGCTAGGTTCACACCTAAGTGTTTTGTGGTCTGTTTCTCATTATGCAGGAATGCACTACAGTCCATTTAACATATTTTTTCCTATAGGTGAAGTTCACATCTCCATGCTTTCAACCAGTGCGATTTCTGGAAAGGGTCAGGGACTTTTTTTTAAACACAGAACAGTGCATTTAGGTTCAATAGACTTCAGTGGAGACACTGCAGAAGTGCATGTAGTGTGTTTTTGATACGTTTTTGACACGTTTTAATCTGCCCAGCAATAAATTGACAAAAACCCCCCTGTTCTGTCTCTCCAATCTAAGCATTGATAGTGTGATCTCTGTAATTTACAGTTGTGATGAGATAGCGATAACTCCAATCTTAGGTGTCCGTTTATGAACCAGCAGTAATAGACCGCTGCTCAGTTCTCCGGCATTCTCGGAGAACACAGTTCTCCTGAGAATGCAGTTTATGAAGCAGTTCTCCGAACGAAGGGAGAACGGTCTCCAAACGCTGGAGAACGGTCTACAAACTCTGGAAAACGGCTGATTTTACTATAATCTCGCGAGATTACAGTAAAAGATCAGTTTACTAAGCAGAGGTAAGTTATCTCTGCTTAGTTTGCGGTCCCTCTGATTCTCCAGCTCTGGGCTGGAGAATCTGGAGGGAGAACACAGATCTCCAGTGAAGGGCTGACATGATCTCCTGGGTGTCATAAACTGTGAATGACCAGAGAATAGCTGAGATCCGTTGAATCGCAGCTATTCTCTGTGTCATAAACGGACACCTTAGTTGGATACCACAGTCAGTGACTCAATCGATAAGACATCTTTAACCATTTCAATACCGGGCAATTTTACCCCTTCCTGCCCAGGCCAATTTTCAGGTTTCAGCGCTCTCACACTTTGAATGACAATTGCGCGGTCATACAACATTGTACCCAAACTAAAATTTTATCATTTTCTTCACACAACTAGAGCATTCTTTTGGTGGTATTTAATCACCGCTAGGGTTTTTATTTTTTGCTAAATTCAAAAAAAAAAAAAAAAAAACACATTTTTCTTTGTTTCTGTTATAAAAGTTTACAAATAAATAATTGTTCTTCATAAATTTAGGCCGAGATGTATTCTGCTACATGTCTTTGCTGAAAATAACCAAATTAGGATGTATTATTTAGTTTGTAGGAAAGTTATAGAGTTCACAAACTATGGTATAGATCTGAATATTGATCAATCCTGAAGTACTGACAACCAATCTAATTTCTTGAGGTCCAAGAATGTCAGAATAGTACAGATATCCCCAAATGACCCCTTTTTGCAGAGTAGACAGTCCGACGTACTTCATAAGAGGAATGGCGAGTTTTTTGAAGTTGTATTTTTTTGTCATAATTTTTCGGAAAATGAAAAAATTAAAAAAAATTATTTTCACTATTTTTTTTTTACATACTGTCACCAGTGCAGTACAGCGTCATCATATAACTGGCATGGCGGTGAACAGGGACACTGACTGGTGACAGTATGAAAAAAAAAATATATATATATTTTTTAATTTTTTTTAATTTTTTTATTATATTTAATTTTTTATTACATTTTTTTTTATTTTTTTTAAGATTTTATTTATATTTTACTATGACCAAAGTAGTACAATGTTACCATAGTAACATTGTACTACTTTGGGGAAGTGATCAGTAATTTTTTTTTTTTTTTTTTTACACAATTTGCTTATAGCAAAGAATTACTTTGCTATAAGCAAGCATTTACCTGAATGAAATCGATTCATTCAGCTTTTTTTTTTTTTTTTGTGCTTAGCTGTGATTTGGTCACAGCTAATCACATGACATGTGCATTTGATTAGATGTGACCATTCACAGCTAGGCACTAGTATACAATGGATGGCATCATGAATGAAGCCATCCATTGTATACAACTGTCATGTGACCTGCTGTGATTGGTCACAGCAGGTCACATGGTACCAGCAACGGGAGCCGGTACTCGGATCTGTCATCGGCCGTGTCCGAGGTGCACGGCCGGTGACAGATCGCACTGCTGCGCCGCTCTGCATTAGCGCAAACGGCGCATGTGCGGGAGCACGCCAAATGGCGTGCACCCGGAATGCAGGGACACATTTGAAGCCGCTAAACGGCCATTGGCCGGGCAGCTAATGGTTAAGATCTTGTGAAGTTTATTCCATAAACTGAGAGAATCTTACAACAATGAACATTCGATAGGTCAAAAGATCATAATGTGATCTGCTTCATGACATGAGGCTAGAAGCTGCAATGCCTTACTGGGAAAAGGATTGGGCTATCTATACAGCATTAACTAAAGCAGAGGAAAGGGAGGAGCAGAGACAAATTACAGAGAAAGCTTAAAGGCATATGACAGTCATGTGAAACATGACACCCCCCATAAAAACACAAAACGCATAAAAAAAGTGTCAAAAACGCATGTGCAAAAACACAAAATGCACCGCAAAAAGCACTGCAGAAACGGAACAAACGCAAACTGCATAGGTGTGAACCTAGCTGAAGGCTTTTCGCCTGGTTGTCTGGCCAGGTTTATTCCAAAAAGAACTGTTGCTGTAACTGCTTATGAAGTGTTAGCTGAAGTTTCCCTTCATTTGTTAGTGTATTTAAATCTGCTAGCACATCTAACACTCCCCTCCTTCAAGACTGACAATACTGATGCCCAAAGGTGTCCCCTGTGCTCCTTCATCCAAAGTGGTGTCTCACTAATACAGGACGTGTGTCACTGGCCAGTTTACCAAGGGAAAACAAGGGGAAAAAAGTCTTAAAAAAAAAAAAAAAAAAGTATAAAAAAAGTTACAAAATATAAAAAAGCAAAAAAAGTAAAAAAAAAAAAAAAGGTCTAATAAATAAATAAAAATCATGCAGCCACTTCAT